GTCTGGCGGGACGGACAGAGAAGGCTGGCAGTATGCAGCTGATTTTCCAGCGTAGGTTTCATATGCTGTTCCTGAAACCCCACCTGCTGCTTCACTTGGTTCAAACTATGATCTTGATTTATTTATCTTTCCTTTAATTCATTCTTTCGCTTCCCCATGTGTCTGTGCAGGTCATATCATGGCTATAAAACGATGAAGGACTTTGTGCGTCGTAGGCGATGGGCAAGGTACTATAAAAAGCATCACTGGCTTATTGGTCTGTGCACTATTTATTCAGCAGGTACACAGCACTCTGAAAGTTGCCATCCCTGTGTTTGTTTTTTAATCAGACTGGGACAAATGGGCCATAATCAGCAAAATATATTATGGTGTTAATCATATAAAGTTTGTTACTGTAGAATTTTAAATTCTGGAGAATATCTGAAATAATGTGCAGGAGGGTATTTAACTGAAGAGATTTGTTGTCAAGGACACCTGTTTATTTGGCCTTAATGCGCAGGAAGTGTAAACTGACCACTACAGGACCTTGGCAAGAAGTTCCCCCCATCGCACTAAGTGATGTGACCATCCTGCCATGTGCAGCTCAGAGCACCGTGGACATGGTTCCTGTGTGGGCGATCAGTAACAAGGGCGACGTGCTTTGCCGACTGGGAGTCACCGCCCTGACGCCTGCTGTGAGTCATTAATAATATGCAAGCGGACACCAAATGAACTGGTTTAACATCTTTGGAGAGCAACCATTAAAGCTTATTGTCATTTTTTCCGCTTGCATAACAAATGCACACAAAGTACAGAGAGGTGCATTAGCACGTTGTCACTTCTTTTTACTGTGGAGGTTCTTTTAGTTCTAATGTGGGCTTCTAGTGTGGGGAGTTTGAGAGATATTTGCATTTATTTCAAATACAACCACTTCAGTCAAAAGAAGATTGTAATTTCTATCAGCAGGGCAGGCATTAATGACAAGAAATATGATATGATGATAATGATGACTGACTAAGGAGACGTTCCATGAATAGGAGCTGGTTGTGGGTTGAAAAGCGGCTTGCAGCATGCAGATTTGCCAGAGTTAGGGTAGCTATATTTGGCTTAATTTCTCATTTGGAGAAAGATAATTATTGTATTATTTTATGCTAAATTTATTAGTGCTTCTAAAGACAAAAAAGGAAAAGGGGAAAAAAAAAAGAAATGATGTTTATCAACGGACCAAAAACCTCCAAAGTTTCTTTTATTTCTGTTTATGAACATCTGAATATGGAGAAGCAGGTTTTTGAGAGGTAGTGCTTTCTCTGTCTGCTCTCTCAGGGATCTTCATGGCTCCACGTGGGCACAGACCAGCCTTTCAAGTCCATCTCCATTGGGGCTGCCAGTCAGGTGTGGGCTATTGCCAGGGACGGATCTGCCTTCTACAGGGGATCTGTGTCAGCACAGAACCCGGCAGGTCAGTGGGGAAAAAGTGAAAACTGAAAGTGAAGGCTGAAAATTTTAATTACATTTGTCACGTCTGCATATTGAAATAAAATTTACTCAAGCAGATGCATTTTACCTGTGTTTTATGTGTGCGGGTGTCTCCCTCTGCAGGAGATTGTTGGTACCACATCCCGTCTCCAGCCAAACAGAAGCTGAAGCAGGTATCTGTGGGAAGAACATCGGTCTACACCGTAGATGAGAACGGTAAAGCGCAAAACGCAGCACAGATTTTTATTTACAGCTTAGGTTTATAAGTTACTTTTATAGATGAATGACGTAGTGCGTTCTGTTTATAGTTCCTGGTATGTATTTTTTACAAGATGTCTGATGTGGGTGTTTTTCTATCAAGGTAATCTGTGGTACCGACAGGGTGTGACCCCCAGCTACCCTCAGGGCTCCTCCTGGGAACACGTATCTAACAATGTCCGCAAAGTCTCTGTAGGCCCTCTGGACCAGGTAGGACATTATGGCACCACCTTCATCCATTTCATCCTTAAAAGCTGAAAACAGATTTTACCTCACATATTTATAGGCATGGAGGTTCAGACTTGTTGTCTTTCTAATTTTTGGCGCTTGTAATGTAAAAGTGATTCAGTTCAGTGAACACGTACCACAGCGCATGTTTATTTGTGGGTGATTTTGTTGCTTTTGTTTTGGGGCTGCAGGTATGGATCATAGCAGACAAGGTGCAGGGCAGCCACAGTCTAAGCTGCGGGACGGTGTGCCATCGACTCGCAGTCCAACCCATGCAGCCCAAAGGACAGTCCTGGGACTATGGCATTGGGGTAAAGAAACTGAACAGTGTGACTGTACAGTGGTGGGAAATAACAGTTTCTGAACAGTTTCTAACTTCTATGCTAGTTTGATTTTAGTGGAGAGAAAGAATATCAACCAAAAAACACATGATCTTGATTTATTTATAAATCAGTATGTTTTGAGTCATTGTCATGCTGGACGACCCATCTACAGCAATTTGGCTGAGGGAAGGAGATTCTCATCCAAGATTTTCCAGTACAGCTCCTCAGTGTGCGGAAGTCGTCATGTACCCTTTGCAGAAAAACAGCTCCAATGTGAAAGCAATTCAGTTTCCATCCTGGTGATCAGGAGTATTTGCGATTGACTGGACTGATTGTAATCTGTAATCTTAGTTCAGTCAGTGATTTGCAAATCAATTTATAACTTTTAACGTAATATGTTTTTTCTGGATTTTTGGTTGATATATATCTCTTTCCAGTAAAGTAAAACTACCATAACAAATTAGAAACGACTTGTTTCTTCATGAGTGAGAAAACTTATTCAACATGAGGTCCAATAATTTCCCCTACTGTATATGTGTCATGAGTGAATTGTCACCATTTTTTTTACTGATCCTGTCCTTCCCAAAATGCAACAAAATAAATGCATATTGTTATCACAGTAATGCAGCAGATTATTGGTAGTTGTTGATATTTTGAGCACGGCAGTCTCCAGCAGATATATTTATTCATCACATTTTTCCACAGACTTAGATTTTTTTATTATCTGCTGAAGTTTGTCTCCTTGTTTTTTAATGCTAAAAAGCATCATCAAGCATCCTGTGCAGCTTGTTCAAGTAAAGTAAACACTGGACATAATCTGGGGTGTGTTCAACATGCTAATTGTAATATTATTTTCTTTTGGCTTGTTTATTTTTTTCATTAAAAAAGAGGGGTAACATTTTATATATGCAGTTTTTATGGGGGATTTTTTTTAATATGAGTTGGATGGGAGGTGTTGAAAACTACAATTACCAACACAAAGTATATCAAGCTTATTGCCGTTTGAAAAAAACAACAACAGTAGAGTAAATATTAGTTGCTGGAACACTTAGTCTTCATGTGCAAACTGCAGTAGAATAACAACAGAAAGGTGTGGCTCCCAGTTTTCAAGGCTTTGTTTAGTGCTTATAGCCAGATGGTAAACAAGCTTATCCTCAGTAATAATAATTATCACCCCTGTGTCACTGTTTTTAGGGTGGATGGGACCATATCACAGTGAGAGGGAACTCTGTAGAACCGCCCCACATCCGTCTTCCCTCTCTAACAGACACCTCATCCCCTCGGAGCCTGCTGGAAGTCAGGAACACGGAGGTCGACAGCAGTACTTCAGGATGTTAGACAAACACAAATTTGTGCACACAAACTGTATAAAAAGAAACAAAACTCAGATTACCTTTGTAGTATTTTTTTAAAGCACAGCTTATTTTAACACTGGAATAGCAAGGTGATCCTTAAATCCTTAGGTTAGAGTTTTCACACCTTGTGAGCCGGTGAAACCGAGCAATGGATCTCAGACAATCAGAGCCATCTCTGATGACAAACATGCTTATCTGATCTGTCCCTGTGTTGTTTTTCATTTGTACTAGGCATTCATGTGATGGTCACGGCATTTTTGTGTATGTTTCTGTAAGTGCGGTTAGTCTTTTGCCATTGAACTTAGTGGTCTTAATTCATTTTTGTCCTTATTTATTAATCAGGATGTGATGTTCATGATATGTGTGGTTTCTGTGTATAGATTACCACAAGTTAAGGCTAAGATGGTAGGGGGGGTTTTATGAAAGATGTATATTTTTTAAAATGTGCTTGAATTGTAGTTGAATAGTTGCTGGACCACCAGCTTCAGAATGAGTGTTATTTTGCATTTTATCCTGTAAGCAACAAGTCAACAGGGCCAGTTAATCTGACGCAAGTTTTATCTTTGTTTACTTGTCTGCTCCTTTTGTCTGCTGATCTGGCACAGCATCGGCACTACTGAATACTTTTATGTGCATCTATGTGTCATCTTTTGGATTCTGAAGACAAGAATTGGGGTGATTATTGCATGTAAAAAGTCAGCTTGTGAGGTAAACTGAACCCACTGTTAGCTGAATGACACTGGCTGAGAGAATTGTAAAAATACACTCCAAAACACGCTGTGTAATTAGCATTAGTCACTTCTAATCAGTCAAGTATTGTTTCTAGACAGATCGTAGAGGTTTACCCATGGACTGCTGTTTGGTGCCAGGATGTAGCAGCTGTTAGAACACCTACACTGGTTTAAACTTACACATGCCTTGTGCAAAGACTTTTGATGTTATTACCTAAAAAATCTTATCATTATCATGAAGCATGTACACTGGTGAATATTGTAAAAAAGAGGAAAATTACTGTAGTCTTACAGCTGAAACGCTCAAACTGAACCTTCCTCTTTCTCAGGAGTGCTGCATGTTGTTTACTTCCTTTGACATAATGGTTGTAGAATGACTGAGCAGTAAGGGGGGGGAAAAACATTATCTTTTGTTGCAAGATTGCAAAATACTAGTATCTACTCAGTATCGTGGCAGTTGTAATATTACACGGACTACTAAACATCATGCACGGGCATCAGTTTGCCGATAGCTGCTTAAATGCACCTTCGCTGTCTAAATCTGAACTATTTGTAAATGTTGCAAGTGAGATCTCTATTATCTGTGAATACTGAACATTGTGTGTGGTCCATTTGTGTATGGTCAAAAAAAGAAACAGTCTGTGTCAATAATAAATAAATGTATTTATTAATAACGACTTCTCAAATGTTTTTTTCCCCGTTATGATGTTTCACACAAAGTTTGCAGCTTAAACACACATGGAAACACAGCAGGGAGAGGGGATAAGCAAGTAACATACACGTTAAATAGCATCTGTGCCTTTAAGAACTCTTCTGTGTGCAGAAGAAGAGAAATGAGCTACGCGTTCAGATCAAGGGTGGATTATCATTGTGAGCGCTTTCTTGCAACAACACCTCAATATTTAAGCCTTCTGCTTGGTTGTCTTTCTTTCATGGATGCAACAGTTATGGCTCGAGGTTACACTGAGCAGGTTTCTCAAGAGTCGATACAAGAAGATGGCAAGATAATCCCCTTCCCCAGTTTAAACCACAACACAAGAAGAAAAAAAACATAAGGGTGGAAAAAAAGCAGCCCTTCTTTCCTGGGCACATACATTACACAACTATGGTCCATTTGGTTTCACTTTCCAGTCTGCATTCTTCATGTCTGCTGTATAAAATCCTTCCATATTTTGCATGGAGTTCTGCACAGCCCACCTCTTGCTAGCATTTATTAGAGGTCTATGATCTGGGGGGGAGGGGGAGAGCCCACTTCCTACAGAAAACACAGCTGAACGTCTCTAAGAGTGTGACTGTAGGAAGTGGGTAATGCTTGATTTGTCCAGCCCTCCTCCTGGTGGCTCCCCTTGCTTTAATCTTACTGTTAGCTTTGCTGGCTGAAGCTATGCATGCTGGTGAGGTATTGGGTGAGACCTTCCTCCCCCTCTTCCTCCAGGTGCTGCTGGTAGCACTGGAGGAGCTTGGCAGCGCTGGCCTCTGAAGGGACCCCGTCAGCAGGCAGGCAGCCCCCTGACATATCCAGGATGATGGTGGTCAAAGCTTTGATGTAATTCTTAGCCAGGGTCAGCGTTTCGATCTTGGACAGCTTCTTCTCGGTTTTCACATGCGGGATGGCCTCGCGCAGCGCTTGGAAGGCGTTGTTGAGTTTGTGCATGCGCTGGCGTTCCCTTTCGTTGCTTTCCAGTCGACGGATGCTGCGCTCTTTGGTGCTGGAGCCGTGCTTGCGTCGCCGTCCTCCTCCCTGCCTCTTGCCATCGCCGCTCCTCAGAGAGCCCCTCCAGGAGCCACGGATCCGGACCGAGGCCTCTGAGCCTTCCTGCTCGCTGGAGCCCGGCTCTGTGTCTGGCTCGAATTCCGGCTCCGGGTCGGACCAGGTCCTTCTGGATGGCTTCACAGCCTTCCCTTTGGATTTCATCTTGCTACTCCTCTTATCTCTGACAGAACAGATCTCAGCTTCAACAAACCTGGAAGACAAGATAGGAGTGTTAAGGACAAGAAAAAAAAGGGTATAAAGTGGCCCGCTTCATAGTTTTCCTTCAGTCAGCTCCAGTTCAAACAACTTGGCATCCTGTTGTATCTAATCAGACTCTTGCAGTGTGAAAACTCCATGATGTTGGTGTGTTACTCCACACCTCTTACCCCACAGTTCAGAGATAATGCCCATGTCAAGGTTACACTCACAAAAACAGACCTGGCAGCTCACAGCAACAGCAAAGCTCTTTAACTTCACTTTAACTCACTGCATAGTTTGGCTTCACATATTAAGACTAAACCATCAGCTCCTAAACTTATTTAAGAAGAGGTTCTATTACTATTATATATTTTAAATGTGAATTTACAAACAGTGACAGTTTAAACTATACTATCACACGCTGTCAGATAAAGGTGTTTTACATAGATAAGTACACACAATAAAAAAAAAAACGGGTATTTCTCCATCATCGTCATTATTTCCCTAACCTCAGCTTAATCACACCAACGGCAGTGCTGTGACCGATATGAAGATGAGCAGACACAAGTCAAATTCACTCACAACACAAATGGAAGGGAACTAAAAGCCTTACCTGGGAAGTTAAACTAATATTCTCCCTCCTGTTTCTTTTTACAGAAAAAGCGTCAGCATGCAGCCGGACATGATCAGCGACATAAAGTCAATTAAAGGAGCAGTGGGAATGAAGGAGCGCGAGAGCAGCACATCAGCGCGAGGCTCACAGATAACTGTCACACGTGAACGGCTACCTGTTGCTAACAGATGTACACGTCGCGCTGTTCAGCCAATCAGAGAGACAGCCCTTTCCCCCCGCTAGCTCCGCCCTCAACCCCAAACCTCCCAACAACCTGCTGCTGTTGCTGCAGAAAGCCACAGATGTGCAAGAATTATACTCAACTTACATTTATACTAGGATGTTTTTTATTTTTATTTTTGGGGGATTCAGATTAACTTTGGCTCCCACTAATGTTTTCCAACGATACTTAGTAGTTGGTGGAAGCAGCATTCAAATCCAGGGATCATCTTATATAAACATGGTTAGGGAGACATATCTAAGTGTCCTGCAGGCTTGTGTGCTTTAATATCTGTGCTGTTCATTTGAGAAAAAGCACAAATAGCAGTCAGAACACAGCTATTCAGTTCAGAAAGTGAAATACGTGGAGCACTTTTATAAAATATTAACTAAACAATTGGTTGAATATGCATACTTACCATTCACAAGTTCCAGCTGACAGCTGATATTTGCATAGATTCTGAGAACAGTGAAAATTTGTGTGCCGTAGTTCAGTGATGAAAAAAATATTTAATTGAAACCCTTTCAGTGTTAGTTTGGCCAGTTTACCTGGTGAATTAAGAATATTTTGATGTAATATTTTTGCGTTTCCTGCTTCCCATTTCTAGAAAGTGTAGTTGTTTTGCAGTTGACAAGCAAAATGTTAAGGATTTACTGGCTAACTAATGTAACTGAGGAGTTTTACTTTACTGTATTTCATTAAAAAAAAAACAATTAAGGGAATATAATGACATTGCAGTGGTGGAATTGAATGGTATGGTCTAATATTTTAAAAACCCTTACAAAAGCTGCTCTTTTTTCCATACTGATATGCCGATAACACGCTCAGCAACAGCATTTCCAACTGTGAAATGCTTTTTTATTCATTCAGGTGAACGCAAGTAAACCTTCTTCTTTTTCTGTTAAGCTGCAGACGTGCTCTTACCTTTAAGACAACTGTAGTAAAGTTAGTTCGTCTGAACAGTTAACATATTTTCCATTGTGACTTATCACCTTCTGCTGCTTCATTTGAATACAGTCCTCCAGGCTACAGCTGAATGTAGGCCTCATTTAAACGTTGCTCCAATATTTGCTTTTCAACAGACAAACCTTTTGAGCTTTTTGCATTACATTACTTCTGATGGACAGCCTCAGGCCACTAGAAAACTAAAAAAAAAAACACACACATTACAAAAAACAAGCCATAAAAGAAAAGCAGAACAACTGCAATTATTAACACGCTCCTTCTTCACATGGAAATGTGATCTGCAGTAATCCAACTGTTTAACTTGGCAGCCTAATGCAGCTGTTGGCAGTTAGTATTACCTTATGTTGTGGTAGCAAGTCTACAAAGACAGGGAGGAGTCACTACAGTGAGATATACTGACTGCTCATCAGTGACTGCATTTGCAGTGTCTGCAAACATCTGGAAGATTAGGGACAAACCCTGATGGTCTTCAATTCCACATTTTGCTTCAGTGACACATATACACAGGCAGAGAGACTCACAAGGTTAAATGATTGCAGTTATGCTATCGCAGTGCATAGATACTGGATGTTTATATATCAGGTGATGATTCCTCATTTGGGTAGGTAGGAATACATACAAATTTAAAACAATGTTGGGGAAGGGCTTAAAGTAATGGGGCAATGGGCTTGTCGCTTCAAGCTACCTGCTTTTGACATTTGAGTTTTGGTGTTTTGAAATTCAATGTGGCGAATGAGAGGTGACTCTGACTGTGAATCTGAGACACAGTGCAGGCTCGTGGGATAGCAATTTGTCAGTCATAAGACTGACCCTGCTTTATCCTCCCTTTCGACTCTAAAGGCACCCATAATTTCCAGAATTAACATCACGTTTGATTTGGGGAGGTCTAAAGCTAGTGATGGAGAACATAATCTGATTAGAAAGGTGTTTACTGAGTTCAAAGGTCAGGAGTGCCCGAGGGCTGTTTTCTCATAGACTTCTACAGTATCAGTACAGTATTCAACAGTATCTATCTTTTAGAAACCACAGGAGTTGCTCCTGACTGGCGTCCACATATGTGGACATCACATTTTGGGTTATTTAGACCAAAATACTCA